TCAGAGCAACTGCAATATGAAGTGGTTGCAAAACTAATGACTTTTAGCATCGGAAAATAATTTTATATTATTTGCTGATATATCTAATGCATTCTTATGCTGCTGCTTTTCTTGATACTTACCGCAAAATTGCTTTATACTGATCACTTTCTTTAAACCTTTTATGCTCTAAAGCTTTTCCTCAACCGAGCTACATCCGACTAAAGGATAAATATGAAAATGATCAATCTCCTCTACGCTCTAACAAGTTCAATGCTTCCTCTTACTTTGCCAAGGACTCAACTTCTTTGTACCTCAAGGGCATATCTGGTGAAAAGCTAGGCCATGCAAATAAACAAAGCTGCTTCCTTGATGAAGGAATACTTGCATCTGGTTCCGAAAAACTAAAGCCAGCTGCCCCTGAAAATTCAGAATCGTCAAATTTATTATGTAGAGACGAAAGTAAGGGGATATCTGATGATGCATTTGGAAGGGTAAGCCCTGTGGCCGAACTTGACTCCTGTTTCCATGCTCAAGAGGACTTTGATGAGACAGATTTCCTCGGAGATATGAGCACAGATAAGGCCTTGCTATTCTTGCTCACAACCAAAAAGCTTGGAGTAGGGCATCGTTCTCGACAACGTAGGCCACGAAATATCCAAGACAGCATTTTTAATGAAGACGACGTCTCCGTGCTTAGAGAACAGAGTACTGCTGAACTAGAAGAGGACTGGTCTAATGGGAGGATGACTTTTTCTCGCATTGGGAAACCTAATAATAGACAAAGTAATGAAGACACTAAGCAGCACGGAATAGGTTATCGGAAATTTGCTGGTTGTCAGAATTTAGAAGAAGGAATAGAAAACGCTGGTATGCTGATCGATAAGGTAGATGATCAGAGCCTAAAAACGAGGCGAACAGAAGAAAGGCCTAGCCCGGAAGATAGTGGAGAAGGAGAGGAAAGAGAATATTGCCTAGAGAATGATGGAGCTCATGCTGGTGAAGTGATAGGAAGGCACCAAAGAAGAATGATTTTGGCAACTGAATCAGACGAGGAATTGAGAAGACATTTGTATCTGACGAGTAAATGTAGGTTTTTGGTTCTACTGTTACTTGAGTTTTTTTCTCCATTACAAATAATTTCTGTCAACATTTATTATAAACCATACGCTTGTTCAGGAGGGCATATGGAAGTCAATATTATTGCTATTCCATGCATCTCTTCTTTATTCTTGTTGCTGAATATTGGATTCGAATAAAATTTTATTTTTATTTTTATCCTCTCACAAAACCTTCCTAAGCTTCAAATTATTCTGAATATCTAATTAACTTCTGAAAAGGGCTTTTCTTTAAGAATTTTGTTTTTAGAACTATCACTATTCTATCTCAGAAAAAGTATAGTTACCTACACATCGTCCTTCATCCTCATGGTTGTAACATTGGAGTTCTAATTTACTTATTAATGCTTGAGTTACCTTGGAAGAATCTAACTTATATTCCTTGGACCTGTTCAGGTGGTACTTCGTAGAATTGTAATTTCTTTTATTTCCTTCTTTATTCTTAACCATAATTAATTTTTATATTTTAAGTTTGAAAGCTGGAAGTAAAATCACTTTGTGCACACATTGCTACACTAATATGGCAAAATTAAATTAATATAGGTATGCAAAAAAATGGATTTCGAAGAATCCCTTGCTAGATTAATGTTGGGGTAACTTTCATTTAGTTTGAAGAGGCGAGTAGAAGAGATTCATAAGTTAGCCTCATCGGAAGCTATAGGTGATTGCTTTGGGGCTGTGACTGTAGAATTGTACAAATAAGACCTCAGCGCACCGCCCTGTATACCCGATGGATCCTTGCTGAGCTTTCGTCCGTCATGCGACGGACATCGTCAGAGCAAGATAACATGAGATGCCTGAGTAAGTGGACCGAATTGGGCTATAAGAATTAAGTTGTTCTGAAGCCGGTCAACTTTCCTGCCTTTATATTTTGATGCATTATCATTAAGTACGGTGTCTTTGTTCTGACGATGCCCGTCACTTGATAGACGAAAACTCAGCAAGGATTCATCACGGTTGCAAGGTGGTGCACCGAGGACCTATTCGTACAAATCTACAGTCACAGCTTCAAAGCACTCCGCCCACAGCCTCCGGTGAGACTAAGTTAGGAATTCTTTCTACTCGCCTCTTTGAAGAAAACTAAAGGTACTCCAACATCAAATCGAAAGTAAGTTTTGCAATCGAACTCATTTTTCATTTTTATGATGGACTCGACAGCCAAGCAAGTAACTTATTCCGGTGTCAAGAGCTAATAATCGCCTATTTCCATCCAGCTCTGTTTTGAATTTGCTTCTTCAAGCAATCTGTTTTAAAAGCTCAAGAAACATATAAAGTCATCATCCAGATATTGTTTGAACACTCTATTGAATGCGAAGTGGATAGTCCCTATTGTCATATTTACCAGTCCTAATAAGAGCTTCTTCCGAATCCCATTCGCTTCCATTATGCCTTTTTCTTTTTCTAAGCTCTCTAGTGCCTCTGCTCTTGAGGTGAGTTTATACGTTAATTTTGCATCATAATTAAGCAGAAGATCTGTTCCTTTCAGTCATTTGCCTGTGCTCCTATAACTTAGTTCATATGGATTTTTCACGGCTTTTGATAGGCTGTCAACTACTTTCCTAAATTTCAAGAACATATATTTAGCTATTTTGGATGTTGTTTTGTACAAATTTTTGCTAACTGTCATTATCACTTTCCCTTATTTATGTATCGTTTGTAATATATCCTTCC